ACAACCCCTATTTTACAGAAAAGGAAACTGAGGCTGAGGGAGGCAAGTCTGGCGGCCACAGGCCCCTGAGGAGCCAGGCAGGGCTGGGAGTGAATCCCGCCTGGCTGCTTCCCAGTGCTGTGACCTTGTTGTATTTGCCCTTTGGAAAATGGCAATTCTGACAGTTTACAAATATGTCCACAAACTCTGATGCTCCTCCTTTTAAGGGGTGGAGGTGACTCCCCTCCCCTTGAGCAGGGGCTGGCTCTAATGAAATATGACAGAAGTGACGACATATTAACTTCTGCAACTAGGAAGTAAAAGCACAAGGCTTCCTCCTTGCTCTCACTCTTGGGTCACGTGCTCTGGGGTAGGCAGCTGCCATGTTGTGAGGATGCTCAAGCAGCTCCCCACACAGTGAGGAACTGAGGCCAACAGCCAACAGCCAGTAGAGGGAGCCAGTTTGTGAGTGGCTCCTCCAGCCCCAGTCCAGCCTTCAGATGATACCGCCCCAGCCAACACCTTGACTGCAATCTCATGGGAGCTCCTAAGCCACAACCATCCAGCTCAGTTGCTTCTAGATGCCTGACACTCAGAAACTGTGGGATGATAAATGTTTGTTGTTTTAAGTCACTAAGTTTTGGGATAACCTGTTACGTAGCAATAGCTGACTAATACCAGGGTAAGAGCCCCTTGCTGTCAGTGTAACTAAATTCACACACAGACAGCAGTGCGATAGGCCCAGGCACACACCAAACCCTTGCCAAGGCTCATTTCCCTCCCAGTTGTTCCAAATGGCCATAGAAAATGTTGGATCTGCTCTGATGTGGCTTGCTCAGAAAACTCACATTTGGCAGAGGTGGGTGGGTCCAGGAATAGATAGGAATGGATGGGGAATATGGAAGCAGGAGGGGACAGCAGGGTACACAGTCACTTTAAAATTTATTATATATACACATGTATATACGTATGTGTGTGTATATGTATGTATATGTGTGTGTGTGTGTGTATATTTTAGTGACAGTCTGGCTCTGCCTCCCAGGCTGGAGTGCAGTGGTATGATCATAGTTCACTGCAGCCTCAACTTCCTGGGCTCAAGTGATCCTCCTGCCTCAGCCCCCCAATAGGTGGGACCACAGGTGCACACCAGTGCACCTGCCTAATTTTTGTTGTTGTTATTGTTGAGATAGAGTTTTACTCTTGTCGCCCAGGCTGGAGTGCAATGGTATGATCTTGGCTCACTGCAACCTCCGCCTCCTGGGTTCAAGCAATTCTCCTGCCTCAGCCTCCTGA